TCCCACATGCCACAACTAGAAGGACCCACAACTAAAAATACACAGCTATGTACCCGGGGGCTTTGGGAGAAAAAGGAAAAATAAAATCTTTAAAAAAAAGAGAGAGAATGTGTACAGAGCTCCTGCAAGCCAGTTAGAAAGATTAATCCAGGAGGAAAACGGGCAAGGGGCATGAACAGGCAAGTCACACGTTGGCCAATAGACACATGAAGATACTCGGCTTTGTACGAAATCAGCAAATGGACACTCTCTTGTATTACCTGTTGGCAAAAACCAACGAGACCCATAACAGCCAGCACAGCGAGGTCAGGTCGCTCTCCCAAAGAGGAGGGGAGGGCACCTCGACAGGCCCCTCTAGTAGGGAGAACACTCATGCCCTTGGGTCCAGCACTCTCCCGGGTAGGCATCTTATCCCAGATAAATACTTGCCCTCATGCCAAGTCCCACATACGATGCCCACTGCTGTGGGATTTGTTCACTTGTTTAATTCTTTAAAGTTTTATAAAAGAATTCAGGCTTAATTTTATATTTTATTTCCAACTATTTCATCGTTAAACCTTTGAAGAGAATACAGGTGACTACCAAGTACCCAGGAGGCCAGGTCACTGCTGTGTTTTTTGTTTTGTTTTTTTTTGAGGAAGATTAGCCCTGAGCTAACAACCACTGCCAATCCTCCTCTTTTTTGCTGAGGAAGACTGGCCCTGAGCTAACATCCATGCCCATCTTCCTCTACTTTATATGTGGGACACCTGCCACAGCATGGCTTGACAAGGGGTGCATAGGTCCATACCCAGGATCCAAACCTGCAAACCCGGGGCTGCAGAAGCGGAGCACAGGAACTTAACCGCTGCGCCACCGGGCCGGTCCCTGCTGCTGCGGTTTTAATAATGAAAAACTAGAAACAACTCAGTGACCACCCAGGGACCTTCCTGAAGTTACCATAATGCGTGATTTTGTCTGGGACAGTCCCTGTCATCGAAGCATAATTATACTAGCGTCTGGAGTAGAAGGTGACTCATATGCCTGTCCCATAACCAGTGCACACACAGGCAGGGACCAAGTGCCTGAGCGTCCTCACCTGAGAGTGGAGATGAGAACGAGACCCCACACAGGACGCAGCCGTGCCTGGCACGGGGCCAGCCTCGATAACTGAGCTGCTAGGGTTAATTTTTAAATATTTCGATATAAAATGTTAAAAGAAAAAGCATATGTTTTGTTTTAAAAATACTAGAAGCCGCACACGGATCTGTTGACAGCAGTGCCCCCTGGGGAGAGAACCAGCAAGGTGGAGGGAACCCTGTCAGTGTATTCTCTGTACCTTCTGTGTGGTTTGAGTCATTCACAAGGGGCACATAGTCAAATATTATTTGTGTAATTAAGGCAAGTTTTAAGGAGGCAGTTCCCACTGGCAAAATGCCGTCTCGTCTCATGGCCATTGTGTCGCTGACTTGCACAGTGAGCTAGGTCGGATTGCTGGCCCCCTTTACACGCAGGGAGTCTGAGGCTCAGAGGAGGCACGGGGCCTTGCCCAGAGGGGGAGCGTCTAAGTTTCATCGTGTCCCCAGAAGGGAAGGCTTTGGTTTCATGAGTTCCTAACCCCCTTGCCATGTCAGACTCCTTCCTGAAAGCTGATGGAAGCTGTGGCCCCTCCCCCTGGAAGTTTCTCCCACTCACAAGAGGGGAGGAGCCTCAGATGCAGCTGGGAGGGTGGGCTGGGGCCCCTCCACCCCTGGCCAGGGGGCTCAGGTCATCAGCCAGCACTTCTAAGCAGCTTCTCTCATCACTTTATTCAACTAACAGGCCCTTGGAGCCTGTTCTGAAGGCCAGTGGGCAGGAGAGGCTTTCTAGAGGAGGAGTCACCTGCCACCCACACCATCAATCAAGTCCTGAGGGCTGTGTGCAAACACCCCTCCTCACTACTTAGTCAGCCTCCCTGCTCCAGACTGCCTGGACTCTCCCAGACCCAGCTTCAGCCCCAGCCTCCTGCAGCCTGAGGGATCCTGTCAAAACCAAGTCAGCTCAGCCCCTTTTCTGCTCAGAGCTCTCCCTAGCTGCCCATCTCAGACTAAAACCCCTGCTCTGCCTCAAGGCCAGACTCCTTCCATTCCACTGGAAACCTAGGCCTTCAGCCCTCAGAGCCTCAGGGCCCTTGCACATGCTATTCCCTCTGCCTGGACCTCCAGTCTCCAGAAGTCTGCATGGCCTCATTTCAGGTGTCACCTGGCTAAAGGAGCTCCCCTAGCCACTCTAGCCTTCTAACACAGTGTCCTGCACTTCTGGGGGTTTCTCCTCTGTCAGCTCACAGGGCGGGGCCTTCCTGTCCCTGCAGGACCCTAGTAAGCGCCCCATAAAAGCTGATGGCTAAGTGAAGAAGGAGTTAATCAGGCTGGCCGGGTGGAGTCAGGGCGTGCTGGGGTCGGGGAGCAGGCAGCGATGGGAGCCAGGCAGGCCTGATCAGCCCATGGGGAGTGGGGACGGTTCCGATGCTGGGGAGGGCTGGGAACAGGAAGCACATGATTCATCCCAGCTGCACCAGAGTCGTGGCCACTAGGGAGCCCTGAGCACCAGGCAGAGACTCAGCCGAGGCGCAGCCCAGGTCGGGCAGCAGCAGCGCAGGAGTCTGCGGGACACAGGCCTGGCTCCTCTGGGCGGAGGCCAGCTCCGGCCACCTGGGGCGGGAAGTGGGCAGGAGTAGGAAGCAGAGCGAGGAAGATGCCCCGCGCTCTCCCTGACCCTCCTAGCACTTCAGGCCTGAACTCCTGCGTGGCTCTGTGACTTTGGGCGCGTGCTGCCCTCTCAGGGCCAGGAGCCATCTTTTGGAGCCCGGCTGTGCCGGCCTCGCCAGGTGCAGGCCCTCCGCGCTCAGGCCTCGGGACGAGGAACACCCAGGGCCGTGGGACAGCACAGCCCAGATGGGCGGGCCAAGGGCAGCCCCCACTTCGTCTGCGCCTCCCACTTATTTCCCACCCTCTCATCAGTAAATAGTTGTGGTTTGCAGTGAAGTGAGTCAGAAAGGGAAACTGAGGCCGGAGAGCTGGGCCTGGCCCAGGTCACGCAGCTCAGAGGAGCCCTAATGACATCAGCGGCGCCAGTGCGTCAGCCGCACGCAGGAACACTCCCCCTTCCGGAGACCCCGTGCCCAAGGGGCCTGGATCCCTCCATCCTCAAAATCACTTTCTTTTAGGTGACGCGAGGGGAAACTGAGGTTCGAGGAACCGGAGCCACTTGGCAAAGGCCCGGAACAGGGGGAGGAAGGGGCAGGCACGTGGACTCGACTTCTTGGGCCTGTCGGGCTCAGGGCTTGGAGAGGGGGTCCCCTTATCGGACCCGCCGCAGGGCCATGGGGAGGAGGGGGCGACTGTGAGCCCGGCCTCAGTTTCCCCACCGGCGTAGGAGACCAGAGCGGGAAGCGGTGTCGAGGCGGGCCGGGACCGGTACCCCCACCGCCCTGCGCGGGCCGACACCGCCCCCTGGCGGCCAAGCGCGTCATCGCAGCCCGCAGCCGGTCACGGGGCCCAGCGAGGGTGCGGAGCCAGGACGCCCAGGTCGCCAGGGGCCAGGGGACGTTTGAGAGCCCTCGCCCCAGCGGCGGGGTCCGCGGGCTTAGGTCTCCACCCCGGAACATCCTGCACGCTCGCCACCGCCGTATGGCCTCCGCAGCCAGGCCCTTCCCACTCTGGGTCTCATCTCCGCCGTCAAATAGCCACAATCCTGCCCACACCACGCCTGGGGCCACTCGGGCGCCCCCTCTGCCTCCTCCTGCCGGCTTTCTGCCCCCACACTCCGCCCCCGGGGTTAGCACCCCCTCTCTCTCCTCGTGGGCGGGGACCTGGCCAGCGCTGCCCCGATCGGCCAATCAGAAGTCCTGGGGCGTGGCGGGGAGGGACCGATTGCCCGACGGGGAGGGCACGAGCAGCGGGCAGTTGGGCCCCGCCGGGGTTCCCCTCCCCGCGCCTCCCTCTGCTGAGAGTCCTCGGACCCGGACAGATCGCCGGGTGCGGAGGGCAGCTCTCCCGGCGCGGAAGAGGCAGGCGAGGGGCGCTTCAGTTTCCCCGTCTTCGAAGTAGGGACGATGGCTGCCCCTCTGCCCCCATCGAGAGACAGCCCCAAGGCCCCTAACTCGGTCTGCAGGCCGCAGGGGTCCCTGGTGACTCGCACTGCCAGAGCCCTCTGCCCAACCCCACCTCTCCCCCAGGGAACAGACCTTCTCACTAGCTGGTCCCTTCGCCTGGAATGCAGTCCACCCAGCTGAGCATGCTCGTGTAAGTGGCCTAATTGTACCTCCCTCCCCAGAGGCTTCCTTGACCGCTGTCACCGGCCCCTTCTCTCAGCCTTCCCAGATGCAGGTTGATGAGGCTCCCAAGCGCCTGCCCTGCCGAGTGTTCAACGTACCCCAGCCCATTTCACAGATGCAGATACTGAGACCAGAGTGGTCTGAACAGCCAGACACAGGGCACTCAGCTGGGAGGTGATGGGGTGGGAACCTAGCCGTCCATTGTGACCTGCTGCTGGCCCATCCCTCTGTCACTGGGCTGCAAGCCTGTCCTCTGCTCTCACTCCAGGGATCCCCCAGGACACTGCTGGCAGAGCCCACTGAGGGTCCAGTGCTGTCCAGATGGGGGATCAGGAATCCCCAGGAGCCACCCCTTCTTCTGCCACCCTTTGTCCAATAGGGCACTGAGGTCCTGGAGGGGCAGGGAGGGCCCTGCCAGGTGTCACTAAAGTCCTAAGCTTTCCTGGATGCCCACTGTGGAGGCAGCACAGGCCTGGACTGGTGAGGAGACAGATCACTAAGGCCTGAGAGGGGCTTCCTGGCCCCAAGGAGGGGGGCAATTGGGATAACTGCCTGCCATCGAGAGCAGTGGACAGGAAGGGGGGAGGGAGGGGAGAAGGGTGGATGGGGTGCAGTTACTATGCTAATGAACCCTGAGAGAGAAATGAGACTTCCACCGGTGTATCAGCTGTCTACTGCCGTGTAACAAACAACCCGCAACAGTAGCTTGAACAGCAATGATTTTTTATTTCTCAGAACTCTCTGGATTGACTGGACAGTTCTTGTGCTTTGTGTTGTGTCAGCTGACATCAATTATACAGCTGCAGTTGGCTGGAGGCTCAGCTGGGGTGAAACCCCAAGGCAGCTTCCCCATGTGGCTGTGGTTCCTGTTGGCTGGCGGCTGGGGCTCAGCAGGCTGCCAGCTTGGGCCGTCATCCCAGGGACTTTGGTTCTCCTCTACTTGTCCTCTCCACATGTCTGACTTGGGCTTCCTCACAGCATGGCAGCTAGGCCAATGGGCAAGAGCTTATCAAACCTCTATTTCCATCACTCTTGCTAATATTTCATTGGCCAGAACAAGTGATGTGGCCAAGCCCAGAGTCACTGTGGACTGAGACCTCACAAGGGCATGAACACCAGGAAGCGAATGGTTCATTGGGGGCCAGCAACATTACAGGTTACCACAGCGGGAAAAGAATGCAGGGGGACAGGGGACAGTAGACCCTCAGGGGCCAGAATAACCACGGACAGCTCCTGAAGGAGGACGGGCTTGGCCATAGAGGGCCAACAGCTCCATTCTCCTCCCTGCTCCCGTCCTGGGGCCCATGGAGGCAGGAAGGCAACCAGCCACTAAATGAAGACATAAACTGTGAAAACGCCTGATTGGAGCTAAGTGCTCTGTGGACAATGAAAACAGAGTGATGTGACAGTGTGCTGGGACATGCGGGATGGGGCGGCTGCTTGAGATGAGATAATCATGGAAGCCTTCTCAGAGGAGGTGATGTTTAGGTTGAGCTCTGACCAACAGAAGGAGTCAGGCTTGAGGAGTGCTGGGGGAAGTGAATTCCAGGCAGAGGGAACAGATAAAGCAAAGCCCCTCATATGGGAATGAGCTTGGCAGTTTTGTGGATTGGAGAGAAGACCAGGGTGGCAGGCGAGGAGTAGGCAAGGGGGCAGGCTGGGCAGGGCCAGATCAGGCTGGATCTTATAGGCCTGGACAATGAGGTTGGACTTTTCTCCAAGTGCAATGCGGTGCCACCCAAGAACAATATGACGGAATCTCGCTTATTTCTACTGACCGTCTACTGCATGCCAGGCAGTGTTCCAGGCACTTGGGACTCGTCAGTGAACCAAACACAGAAACAGCCCTGCCCTCGTGGAGTGCGATCTGATTTGGGAATTCAAAAAAGAAAAAAAAAAAACACTGCTGAAAGGGGACAAAAGTGGGGTGCCTGAATAGAAGGAGAAAGAATGGAGGAGGAGGGACTGTCAGGCATAGGAAATAGGGGGTGAGCAAAAGAAGGTAAATTCTAGAATCAGCATGGGAGGTAATCTTCATGATGTTGGGTTAGACAAAGAGGTCTTAGATATTTTTTCTACAAAAGAAAAAAATTGATAAATTGTATTTTGTCAAAATTAAAAACATTTTCACTTCAAATAAAATGAAAAGTAAGCCACAGGTTGAGATAAAATGTTTTCAAATCATATACCCAGAATATATCGATATATATCAAGAATTCTTAGAACTTAATCATAAGACACACAACCCAGTTTTTAAAAGAGGCAAAAGATTTGAACAGACCCTTCACGGGAGAAGATATACAGATAAGCACATGACAAGACGTTTAACATCATTAGTCATTAGGGAAATGCAAATTAAAGCCCCAATGAGATACCACTACAAGCCTATTAGAATATCTAGAATTAAAAAGACTGACCATGCCAACTGTTGACAAGCGTGTGGAGCATCTGGAACTCTTGCACATTGCGGGTGAGAGCGTAAAATAGTGTGGCCACTTTGGAAAACAGTTGGGCAGTTTCTTACACTTGCTGCATGACCCAGCAATTGCACGCCTAGGCATGTGCCTAAGAGAAATGAAAACACATCCACATAAAGATCTGGACTTGAACATTCACAGCAGCATTCTTCATGATAGTGAGAAAATGCAAACACAGGTCCACGTGGCCATTTAAAGGGTGAATAGATCACCAAATTGTAGCATGTCCATGCAATAGAAATTATTCAGCAATAAAAAGGAATTGACTACTGACACAAGCTACAACAGGAGGAACTTAAAAAACAGGATGCGAGGTAAAACAAACCAAACATCTGTCATCAACAAGAATGTATTTACACTTAAAATTGTGTTAAAATGCTAGATCTCTTAAAAATAGAGAAAGAGGGCCGGCCCCGTGGCCGAGTGGTTGGGTTCGCACGCTCCTCTTCGGCGGCCCAGGGTTTCCCTGGTTCGGGTCCTGGGCGCAGAGGTGGCGCCGCTCGTCGGGCCGTGCTGGGACCGCGTCCCGGGTGCTACGACTGGAAGGACCCACAACTAAAAAAGATATACAACTGTGTACCGGGGGACTTTGGGGAGAAAAAGGAAAAATAAAATCTTTAAAAATAATAAAAATAATAAAAATAAAAATAGAGAAATAAACAGAAAACTACATAACGTGTGATTCCATTTACCTGACGTGTGTAGAAAAGGCAAATCTAGAGATAAGGAGAGCAGGTCTCCGAGGAAGAGAGCAGGTCGGCGGTTGCCTGGGGCTGGGGTGGGAGCTGGGACTGACCGCACAGAGGCACCAGGAACATGGCCGGGGCGGGGCGGGGAGGAGGCGGCGATGAAAATGACCTAAAACTGGATTGTGGTGATGGTTGCACAGCTCTGTAAATTTTCTAAAAAATCATTATGTCCTTACAACTGGGGGAATTTTACGGCATATAAATTATACATCAATAAAACTCAAAAACAAAAGGAAAGGAGCGAGGGCGAGGCCTTCGGACGGGCTGCGCTCCGCGAGAGCCGCGGGGCGGGGCAGCCTGAGCCCTCCAGGTTTCAGGCCCCGAACCCTTGGGGCCTCTGTAGTGCTGCGGTGTCCCCTAGGTCAGGAACCCCAGCTGGGCAGGAGCCCGGGTGCTGTGGGGTGACTTCTGAGTTGTTTACAGAAAACCCTCCGGGAGGGAATGAAACCTGTTTTGAATGATAAATGCTCGAAAACCACAAGAAGTTAACCCCCAAGTCTGAATTCTCCCAAACTGGGGAAATCAGTTTCCTTCCAATAACGCGCTCCGGGCCCAGGGGAGGCCCCGCCCAGCTGCACGGGTGAGGCGGGCAATTAATACGGGGCAATTAGGGACGCTGCTGTGTTGGGGTGGGGGGCCTGGCCCCCTGGCAGACGTTTCTGGGAGGGAAGATCCGTTGGGAGAAGTAGATCGAGTGTGTGCCTGGCGGGGAGAGCAGCACACACACGCCAACCCCTGTCCCCCGCGTCCTGTGGGGACAGGGTTGCACTGACTTGAGCCTGAACCCAAAAGGTACCTGCAGACCCCCGCGCTCAGAGACTCGCTGAAGAACCGGCGCAGAGGGTCCCAGACTCCAGACAGGACACCCTGGGGCTTAAGACAAGGTCAGGAAAAGCTCAGGAGCTGAAGCCCGCACTGTGGGGCTCCCTGAGTGAGAAAGGGGCACTGGCTCCCCCCGCCACACACACACCCTGCACCGACCAACTCTCCAAACACCAAGACCCAGGTGCCTCCTTAAGAGAAGGGGCGCAGGCGAGTCTCGGCCCAGGGGCAGGACTGCTCCCCCGCTCCGCCCCCTCCCTTGGTTATTGTCAGGCTTGGGGTTCACAGGGCAGTCAGCTCAGACCCTCTGGCCTGCCTAGGGTCCTCCACATCCGCTCCTTGCAGCCCCCCTCAGACTACCAAGGGCGCTGTTAAACCTGAACATGCCCTGCCCACGCCACCCCCTACGCCCGCCACAGGAGCGGGGAATCTGAGAGCGGACCACTGGGAGAACTGCAGCCCACCCCCAACACGTGCGAGACTGCTCTCCCCGGGTGATTGGACCAGGAATGGACACTTGACCAAGGAGAGCCCATCCATAGGCTGGCCAGTGACCTATCAGGGGTAGCCTGGTGAGAGCAGAGCCAATCAGATGCCTCCCTGGGATCTGGCGCCAAAACGGTCGGAGAGGGACATGTGGGGCCTTGGGTGGCATCCGGGTGCACTAAGTCGGGGTTAAGGTGAGGAGAGAGAGGAGAGCAAGCAGGGCCGGAGGCTGAGGGCATGGGAGAGGGAGAGGCAGGAAGAGAGGCCCAGGCTCACCTCCGCTTAACCAGCTCACATTTTCTCAAACCCAAGCCGTGCCCGCAGCGGGGGCTGACTTCCCGATAGCACACCGTCTCCACCGTCAGCCTCCAGAGTTTGTGGTTATATCACCCGTCTTGCTTCGGCGGCTCCAGGTCTTCGTGCTGGGCGTGTGGTGCACTCGTTTGCTCCGATGTGGGTTAAAGTGAATTCCCTACCATCAAAAAAGCTTCCTCGTTTGTGCCTCATGTTCACAGCAGCGTTATTCACAGTAGCCAAAGGGTGAAAAAACCCAAGTGTCCACGGGTGGGTGAAAGGATAAATGACAGGTGGTATATCCATACAGTGGAGTATTATTCAGCCTTAAAAAGGAAGGAAATTCTGTCACATCATGGATGAACCTCGAGGACATTATGCTAAGTGAAATAAGCCAGTCACAAAAGGACAAATACATACATGATTCCGCTTATTTGAGGGACCTGGTGTAGCCAAATTCACAGAGACAGAGAGTAGAATGGTGGTCCAGAGGCTGGAGGGAGGGAGAGGGAAGCTGTTGTTTAAAGGGGACAGAGTTTCAGTTTTGCAAAATGAAAAAAGTTCTGGAGACGGTTGGTGGTGATGGTTGCATAGCAATGTGAATGTACTTAATACCACTGAATTGTACGCTTAAAAATGGCTAAGACGGGCTGGCCCGGTGGCACGGTTAAGTTCGCACGTTCTGCTTTGGTGGCCCGGGGTTTGCCGGTTCAGATCCTGGGCGCAGACCTGCACACCGCTTGTCGTGCCATGCTGTGGCAGGCGACCCACATAAAATAGAGGAAGATGGGCACGGATGTTAGCTCAGGGCCAGTCTTCTTCAATAAAAAGAGGAGGATAGGTGGCAGATGTTAGCTCAGGGCTAACCATCCAAAAAAAAAAAAAAAGGCTAAGATAGAAAATTATATATTATGTGTATTTGGTCACAGTTTTACAAAATGAAAGTCCTCCACGCACCCAAGAGCTCACCCTGCCCTGAGATCCACGGTCCACGCACAGAGCCAGCCTGGAGGGCCTCTGCGCTGTGCAAGCAGAAGCCTTTGCCTCCTTACCGGGCTGGCCGTGGACCTGGTCAGGGCCAAGGTACCAAGTCAGAATGCCTCACCCAGCCAGGCCTTGAGACGCTGCGTGAAACCTGGGCACTTGGCTCATCTGCAAGGAGGCATCACAGTGGTCAGCGGGAAAACTCGAGATCCGAGTGGCGGGCAAGCTCTGCTGCCGGCCCCGTCAGTCCTAAGCGGAGGGCCTTAGGAGCCTGGAAGTCAGAGCAACAGGTGGTGGGGAAAGGACACGAATATTCCAGGGGTCAGCTGGATCTGCTGCACGTGGCCACCTGCAGAGAAGCCTCACAGCAGGGCAGGAGACCCTCCCAGTGGCCTCACTGAGGCTCCTCTTCCTGGAAGCAGTGGTGGAGGGTGGCCCTGCTCACGCTGGCCTCAGTGACTGCTTTTCCAGTCTCCCAAGTCTGCCCAAGACAGCTCCTGAAGGACACGGTCTCCTGCACAGAGTGGAGCCCGCCAACAGGTCCTCTTTAAAGTTCTTGGCTGCCTGCTCTGTGCCAGGGAGGAAAACAGCGTCCTGACTGCCACCTGGCCCCCATGCCACACTGGCCTCACTGGAGAGTGAAAGCAGAAAGGAAATGGAGGCTCAGAGGCCAGGGTCACACGGCTGGTAGCATCAGAGCCACAGCGGGAAACCAGTCACTTTGACTGCAAAACTTGCACACTCCTAAACTTTGCTTCTCAACTGGGAGCGTGAGTACCTCGTGTGAGCGGTGGAGGGGGGAATGCTGGGCGGGGACTGGGGAGGGCCACAGCATGGACAAGATCAGCTTCCAGAGCATCAGGTTTACTCAGACACTTGGGGTGGGACATGGGGAATTGAGTGGCTGTGTAAAACCTAACTTTTGGGTTACTCAAGCATTCTCACATTAAAGGGGCAGAGCACAACACCCACAAGGGTTTTTTGATGAATCAAGGGATTTTGCGCTAGCGGCAGGTCCACCATCTCAGTTCACTGGCCTCCACAATTAAGAAAACTGTGGGGTCACCCCGTGGCCGAGTGGTTAAGTTCACGCACTCCGCTTCAGCGGCCCAGGGTTTCTCTGGTTCGGATCCTGGGCACGGACATGGCACTGCTGGTCAGGCCATGCTGAGGCAGCATCCCACATGCCACAACTAGAAGGACCCACAACTAGAATATACAACTATGTACTGGGGGGCTTTGAGGAGAAGAAAAAAAAAGACTGGTAACAGATGTTAGCTCAGGTGCCAATCTTAAAAAAAAAAAAAAGCAGCCATTGGTGGATAAGTTCAAGAACGCTGCATTTCATCTGCCACTTTGGGAGGAAGCACCTCCCTGTCTCATGATTTGCGTCATGATGTCCCACCCAAGGGTGGATGGGTCCCCTGGAAAGGCTCAGCAGGCACGTCGTTTGTGGCTGTCCCCCAGCCCCCCAGGCTGGCAGCCCGCATGCCAGCCCCTCGCTCCAGACTCCTGCTCATCTGTTACCTCTGAATCACAGAGCAGTGTGGGAGGGAGGCAGGCAGAGCAGGGCGCCCTGTGCCCGATTGACAGAGGAGAGAACTGCAGCCCAGAGAGGCCAGGGGCCCAGACAGCACAGGAGGAAAGGCCAAGAGGCCAAGAGGCGGAGAGGTGCCTGGCTGGGGGCTGTGGCCCCAGCCCCTCGTGCTCCTCTGGGCTTGATCCTGAGTCCAGCTGCCCGGCCACTGCCAGACAGCATCTTGGAGAGAGGTGGGGACTGCTGCTTCCCTCACCTGTCCCTGCGGGGTGAGGAGGGCTCGGAGAGGGCTGCAGCTCCGCCCTGAGACCCTGGACCCTGGGATACCCAGGAGGTGACAGAGCCACTGCCCTGGACCCAGCGGGTAATGGCTGTTTGGGCCTCCCAGGCTGAGTCACTGTGGCCTTCCTTCAGTCTGTCTGATACCCGGGGGCCTGCGCCCAGCCACCCTGGGACAAGGGGGAAAGGAAGGTGCTTCTGAGAACGTAGCCCTGGGAGAGGCTCTGTGCACTCAGGGGGTTGGGGACCCATGAGGGGAGGCTGAGTGGGGGGTGGGGGTGGGGGTCCCATCCACTTCCTTTCTGCTGGAGCTTCTCCACTTTGAGAAGGGATTTTGTTACTGCTGCTGTTGTTGGGCTTCTGAGCGAGATTCCCAGTGCAGAGGGGTCAAGCTACTAACCGACATTTGGGGCCCCTGCAGGCCCTGAGGCATCCAGGCACAAACCCCAGGGCCTACTCTGCACAAGGCCTGGCTGTTCCTGGTTGGGCCTCCATAGAGAAGACACTGTGGGAGAGTGAGAAGAGGACTGGACCGTGTCACACAGACCCAGCAGAAAAGCCACAATAACAGTGGCTTCAACAAGATGGACATTGAGTTTTCTCTCATACTCGAGATGTTTAGAGGTGGCTGGGGCTTGTTTGGTAAGTGGCGTCACAGTGTCAGGAACCTGGGTTCCTTCCATACTGTGGCTCTGCCATGCATAGTTTTCATTTCCAAGATCACCTGGTGGCCCAAGATGGCTGTTGAAGCTCCTGCCATTATATCTGCATTCAGGCAGTAGGAAGGAGAAAGGGGAGGAGGGTGTGCCTTTCCCCTTAAGGACTCTTCCTGAAATTAAACACTCTATTTACATCTAGGCCCAAACTCAGTCACATGGCCACACCTACGTTTAAAGGAGGTTGAGAAGTGCCTTAATTCCAGGCAGCAAATGCCCAAATAAACTATCAGGGGTTCTCCTCCCGTGGATCGATCGCTGGAGGTGGTGGGGGTGGGGAAGGGAACCTGAAGGATCCGATGGTCTCTGCTCTAACCACTGACAAGCTGTGTGCCCTTGGGCAAGCCCCTTCACCGCTCTGAGCTCCTGTCTGTGAAATGCAGGTATGGGAAGACTGTCTCCAAGGCCCCTCCCTGCCCTGGCATTTCGTGACCCTGAAGCAGGGAGCCCAGGGAGGTGAAACCAAGGACAGAAACTGCTCCTGTGTAAAGCTTTCCTGTTCCAAGGTTTATAGATTCGCAAGAGCATAAAACTTGATGATTTATTTTCAACCTGCAAACTGATTAATGCAGCCTGGAAGACTGATAGGGGGGTGAGCTGCAATGTGCCTGGGACCTACCCAATGTGGAAGAGCAACAGTCCTGGAGGGCTGGCCCAGTGGCACAGTGGTTAAGTTCATGCGCTCCACTTTGGTGGCCCGGGGTTTGCCGGTTCAGATCCCAGGTGCGGACCTATGCACTGTGTAGGTGAGGAAGACACTTCCTCTACCCGCTCTGGGTCCTTCTGGCCAGACGACGAATTAAATTCACATGAGCCAGAATAACAGGAGAAGATTAAACAAAGCTTTATAACGTGTACACATGAGAGAGGCTCAGGCAACCTGAGCAACTCAGCCAACTGGCCGAGGCTGCCTGTTTAAGTATCTTCAGCTGCAGACAAGGAGGACATTGGGGCAGTGGTTTGGGGCTTCAAAGGGGAGGAAGGCAACCCACGTGGAAATGGAAAAGCAAATGTTTAGTAAATAGAACTTTGATAAGAGTGGGCTTAGCAAGGATCCTCCCAGTCTACCAGAACCCACAGTTATCTATGGTGATGGCCTGTCCTGGGGACAGGCCTTTATTGTAAATTTCTTTTAGGCAGTTGGGGGGAAAGGTCGAATGTTCCTGCTGAGTCTGAGCCTTTATTGTCTTCAGCTCAAAATAGTCCACATACCAGAGTGGTGCATCTTGGGGCAGCCTGCCCTGAACCCCATCAACCACTTGGCAAGCCATGCTGTGGCAGCATCCCACATATAAAGTAGAGGAAGATGGGCATGGATGTTAGCTGAGGGCCAGTCTTCCTCAGGAAAAGAGAAGAATTGGCGGCAGATGTTAGCTCAGGGCTAATCTTCCTCAAAAAAAAAAAAAAAAAAAAACGAGTTCTGGAGACAGACAGAGGGTGAAGGCTGGAGGAGGATGGGGTGGGAGGGGGCCTGGGAGTCAGCCCAGGTCCTACAGAGACAGGAGGGAGCTGAGGAGACAGACATGACAGCTGGGCATCTCTCTTAGGGTCACAGAGGTGGTGGGGAGAGAGGACCCAAACTCAGGATGGATGCCACCAGGGAGGGACGTGGGGGCCTGGGGAAGAGGGACAGTGGGCAGGGAGAGGAGGTCACCACCAGCAGCCCAGAGGGCTCTCTGGGGCCGGGGCCGGGGAGACTTTCCCTCACAAGCCCTTCTGTGGCTTTCTTTTGTCCGAACCCCGTTCCATGGATTACAGATACTAAAGAGCTCTAAAAGCCTGGAGTCGTGAGAAGTCGTCTGGCCTGCCGGAATCAGGGAGCCAAGCTGCCCTGGGGAGGGAACAGAGCCGGGCTCCCGGAGACGCCTGTTGCTGTTCTCACGCCTCTGAGGGGCTGGAAGGCGACACTGGGGTGGGCTGGCAGGAAGGGGCCTGCTGTCGGGAACTGTAGGGGGTCTGGCTATGAGCCAGGCCTGGGGTAGTGGCGTGCGAGGTGTGTGTAACCAGAGGGCCTTACCCGGCAGCCGGGCACTTGGAGCGGCGCCTCCCTCCTCCCTTCCTGTCCCCTTGGCACCCACCTCCATGGGGTGGCCCAGCAGCCAGGCAGCAGGGAACCGTGTGCCTGGGACACGGCAGATTTCCTAGTCTTCCTCTAGGCCTGGGCAAGCCCCAGAAGGGCCTGAACTTACTGTGGAATGGGGCAAGGGGGCCTGGGGAGGCAAGAAGGACATTCTCTCTGTTTCAAGATGGGGGCTCAAGCTGTTTAATGCAAAAGACATGTGATCTTGGTGGTTAAGAGCAAGGGTTCTGGGCCAGACTACTTGGGTTCAAATCCCGAGTCCTACACACACCAGCTGTGTGACCCTGGGCAAGTTACATAACTTCTCTGTGCCTCACTTTCCTCATTTGCAAAATCAGGAGTTGTGAGGTTAAGTGAGATCCTCTATCACAGTCCTCGGAGCAGCCTAAGAAGGGGCTTAGTAAAAGCTATTAGAACGATCAGTATTGAGTATGATCAACGACAGTGTTGGGACACGCCATGTTGTCGTATGGCCCCTGACCCGGCCCCGACAGGAGCTGAGGGCCCCAGCCACACCGCAGCCTCGCAGGCCAGTGCAGACGGCCCACCCGCTTCTCTGGAGGGGCAGACAGCGAGCGCGTGGAGGGGAGGCTCGCTTACAGGCAGATGCTGGCTTCCTGCTGCCCACGCCCAGCGGAGCCCCCTGCACTGTCCGTTGTAACAAGCTCCTGGGCAATTTCTGCGCAGAAACTCTGGGGGTTTCTGGGGTCCCCTGATCCCTTAAAGCTCAACCGCTGTGGAGAGGTGACCTCCCAGGAGGCCTGGAGTAAACAACAGGCCCCTCAGCGTGCTGGACATGAGCATCAGGGATCCCAACATAGTCCTCCCCTGAGGGCTGCAAGGCCTGGGACCAGCCACCCCACCTGCCCCAGCCAGGCCCCCTGACCACGGCCCTCGGGGGGCCTCCATGGCCATGGCAGCCCCAGGCTCAGGACAACCCTGCTCTCTCGGTAGCTGAGCCCCTCTCTCCATGGGTCCCTGAAGCGGACGGCCTTCCTCCTCGGGTAGGTGAGGACGCAGGACCAGCTCCCCACCCTCCCAGGGCAAGACCTGGAGTCTCTCTGTTCCTGTGTCTGTCACCCTGGCTGTGAGGGCCACAATCTCCACCTGCGTCCTGTCAGGGTCCCAAGAGGCCCAGAGAAAGGTCCAGTGCTCAAGGCCCACTGACCTGGCTTCAAATCAGCTCTGCCACTTCCAGGCTGTGTAGCTTCAGGCAAGTCACTTAACCTCTCTGAGCCCATTTCATCAGTAAAATGCAGATAACGTGAAATTCTTGTGAGGCTGTGAATGGCATGTGTTGATTTGTTTGTTTCTGTCCATTCAGCCCTCTGTGCCATGTCCTTGGCCCCCAGAGAGGGAGATGCAGGGCCCTGGCTTGGAGGTGCTTGCTTCAGTGGGGGAGACGGCAGGTAAACAGGCAGTCAGGGCCCTCAGCTCTAGTTGATATAAATGCCAGGAGCTTGACGACACGGGAGGGGGGACGTTAATTCTAACAGAGGAGGTACGGGAAGAAATATCTGCAGGATGGACAGATGGGGGAGGAAGGAAGAGCCTTGCTGGTAGGGGGCACAGCGTAAACAAAGGCATGAGGTGTGAGCCAGGGTGACAGGCAGTGTGCAGGACAGTGGGGGAGACAGGAGGGGCCTGGGCTGGGAGGGAGGTGCCGTCTGCAGGAGGAGCTGTGGGGAAGGGCAGCTCGGCGGTCAGGGCTTGAGGCAGACCTCCAGGCCCCCTGGCCCCCGCACCACCCGGGGATACCTACGGAGAAACTGGCCACGGGCAGAATCTGCACGAATCCAACCGTCACCCTCCAGTGGCCGGCAGTGCCCGCCTGGCCTTCCAAGACTGGGGGTGGGAGGGCTGGGTCCCAAACGCCCGCCCCTCCAGTGGACCTGTGTTTTGTACAAGGTTCCAGATGTTTAAACGCCAGCCGGCAACCTGGCTGCCCAAGCAGGGGCGTCCGGGACCCCTGGCCTGGCTTCTCACACAGCGCTGTGTCTCCTTATGTCAGCCCTCAGCAGCCACTGAGGCCGAGAGCCCCGGGAAGGAGAGCAATTTGGGAATAGCAGACACTTTGTGGCTCGAAGGGCACCCCTCCCCCGCACCGGGGCGCCAGGGTCCCCTCTGCCCTCGGCCCTGAGCAGCCGCTTGGGCCAGGGCCAGCAAGGCATCCTCGAGGAGACCACAGCCCTGTTCTGAGAAGGCTGGGTGGGTGGGTGGGTGAGCTCCGTGGGAGCCCAGTTTCCTCATCCATAAGTGGGGACATTGCTCCCTCCCGGTGACCCTGCAGGGCAATGAACTGAGCCTCCGCGATGGGGTTCAGCCCCTACAGGCGGCAGATTCACTCACCCAGAGGTGGAGACTGGGAGATTCCAGAGAAGAAGCCCAAGATTCTGTGGGAAGGTGCTCCATTCCAGCGGGCCTTGCTGCTTGGGCCACATCCTGGGAGACTGAAAGAAAGCATCCAAGCCGAGGGCCAGACAGTGAAAGAGCTCACGTGACACCCAGCGGCCCAGCTCTGGCGGACGTTCTGGGTCCAGGGTTCCCTGCTCTGGGGTTCTGAAGTCTGGGATGCCAGGAACTGGGTTTTGAGGTCCTGGGTTCCAGTGTCTGGGGTCCACAGCCCCTCTAGCCACCTGGGAAGGAGGTGAAAGTTGGGGGGGCAAGGGCAGCCTCTGAAGCCCCGTGAACCCAAGCACTCAGAGCCCCGACCCTGCCCAGGCAGCCAGCAGGTGGGAACCAGACGCTCCTCAGCTGTCAGACGTGGGGACTGAGGCCCAGGCCTTTGGAGAGCGCCAGGGATCTGTACCAGAGCGCCTGTGGGCCGGGGGCTTGGGCGACGACCACCCATGACCCAAGACAGCCTCCTCCCCTCCTCCATCAGAGGCGAGTGTGGCTCCTCACAGGAGGCCACTGCCCATCGGAGTGCAGCCTCTCTGGGTGGGGAGGATGGAGGCCCTTCCCAGGGAGCCAGAGGCTGTTCTGCTCCTTCTTCCAGAGCTGGCTGCTTCCCACCCCCATCCGGTCTCCTCCTCCGGAGCCCGGACTGGCTGGCTCCTGCCAAGGACGCCCACGGCCTGCCAGGCAGGGTAGGGGAGCCCGCACATGCCTCACCCCACCCCCATCCTCAAAGGTTCCTCTTGGTTCTGGGCCTGTCTTCTGGAGAGAAACTGAGGCCCAGGGGGATTCAGGGTGCCTCCCCAGGCCCCGAGGGCCCGCAGGAGTTCCCAGACACACTTTGAAGACTGTGCTTCAGTGGGGTCTCCTCCCCAACTTCTTTTCAACCATGACAGTGGTGAAGGGGAGGCTCCCGGGCCTGGAGCCATGGGGCAGGGGGGAGGTGGCGGGGCTTCAAAAGGGGGAGTTGGCAGGGGTCCCGGCAGGAGGCCTGGCTGGGAGAGAGACCAGGGCCCCTCTGGTGCTCCCTCCTGATGCCCCCTCACCCCACTCCTCAGCCTCCCCTCCACACTCAGGATTCTCCCAGCAGGCTGCCCAGCAGGCTAGGAGGGGCCCTGGGGCCCAGCGGGGCTGCAGGGCCCACACACTCCCAGGGCACACAGAGGAGAGTCACAGTGGGACTCAGGGCTGGGGCGGAGCCAAGCGGTGCCTCTCAGGAAGGGCGAGCACTGCCCCTGCGGCTTTGTCCCAGGGTGCTCGGCAGGGCGGCGTCTGCATTCAGAATGGAGGAGGCCAAAAATGAGAGAGCTGGAGCATTTTGTCCCGTCTGCTATGGATTTACCCACGGGTCGAGTGTGTGTGTCACTGCACAGTCCATGTGGGTTGAGTGACAACTGCATAGAGGCATATTTGTGTGTATGGGGTGGGGGATGGGTGTGGGCTGGAGATGTTCCCCCAGGTGATAATCTCTGTTGCACACTCACACTTGATCATTGGGATATCCAGGGCAGACTTCCTGTCCCAAACATCCCCCTGCCCCTCCACTAGCTTGTCTGAAATTCCTCCATTTGAGCATCTTCTGGGTAGAGCAACGCATTCCCTAAGATGGAGGGGCTGGGCCCAAGCCTGGAAAACAGCTCCCTGGACAGAGCCCCATGTCCTCTGCAAAACCTCTCTGAGTGGCAGCTTCCTCACCTGAAGGGCAGGTGAGTTCTCTGCTCCACCCCAGACGCACAGGGATTCAGTGCCAGCCGGCCCCAGGATGCTGGAGCTGTCGCTATGATTTGGGAGGCTCCCATCTCTCCCTGCTCTGCTCTTTCCTCGGGAGGCGTGGCGCCAGCTCTCAAGCACCTGCCTGGCCAGGTGCCCTCCCCAGCAGGGGACGGTGGAGCTCTGTCCACGGCGCCAGCTCCCTGTGCCTCTGTTTTACCATCTGGAGGAGGAGAAGGGTTTCTTCAGCCACGCTTTGTCCTCTCCAAAGGTCTCCTCGTGTCTGGTTCATTCAGTTCTCGGTTCCTGCCTTTCCTTTTGTGCCGTCTTAATCTGAATCCCTTCAAACTGCCCAGGCCTGGATCTTGTCTGCCTCCCAGAAGCTGTGTCCCAAATGTGAGAGCAGCAATCGGAGATCCCCACGGATGGGTGGCGGGGGTGGGGGAGCCCAGCACCCAGCCTGCATGGCTCCTTCCTTCTCAGTGGCTCACACAGTCACACCCACTCCAGAGGGGAAGGAGACTGAGGCTCACGAGGTGCACACCGCCCCAGGGCCCCCATTTGACTTCCATGCACCTAAGGCACTTCGCCTTCCCGGCTTCTTCCTCCATAAATAATATGAAAGTTCTGTTTTATGTCTGCATTGGTATAAAGACGAATATACTCATAATATATATGAAAACATTTTCTTCACCCTAAAAGTTTCTTTTTTTTGGAGGGGGAGGAAGATTGTCGCTGAGCTAAGATCTGTGCCAATCTTCCTCTGTTTTATGTGGGATGTCACCACAGCGTGGCCTGACAAGCTCCAGATCCGAACCCGGGAGCCCTGGGCCACCGCCGAAGCAGAGCCTGCGAACCTAACCTCTACACCACCGGCCGGCCCCCTAAAAGTTTTTTCTTTCTGATTTTAAAGAAAACTGAAACATTTCATGGGTCCCTCAAAGTCTGGTGGCCCCAGGCACCGTGTCCCCTGCATCTGAGGAGGGAATCTGCTGGGCAGGCTCCTCCCTTTGGAAGCCAACTGACTGGCCTTGAACTCGGTCTTCCGCACCCCACCCCCTCCAGCCCACCTGCCACTCTGGAGAAGAGCCAGGTGAATTTTTGCTGATTGTAGGCATTTCTTAATACTCATCCTATAACTTTGAAGTCTTGTCTCTGAATTCTTGCGACAACAACGGGAATAATAATGATGATAGTGCTTCACAAAGCCCTTGACACTTTTCAAGCCCCTTCACCTCTGTTATCTGATCCCCCAACAAGCCAGGGAAGGGCAAGGGCAGCCATTGTTACCCCTATCTCACCGCTGGGACAACTAGGACACGCAGGACAGTAAGTGGTCTCAGCTGGCAGGACCAGAGCTCTGGGCTCGTTGCTCATCCTCTGTCTGCAGTCAAGGGGAGCAGGTCTGGGGAACCTGCCTGGAGAGCGAAGCCCCAGGTCAGGAGGGAAGGTTGGAGCTCAAAGGGCAGGGGGGAGCAGTGGGGGAGGGGCAGAGGGGCAGATGAAGAGGAGCGGCTGGAGGGTGAAGGCAGAGAAGGGAGGGGGAAGAGCCCCCTGCGGCCTTCTGGAAGGAGATGAACTAGGGTGGAGGGGGAGAGTCACTGGGAGGGAGAAAAGGGGCCCCAGGAGGTATCTGGGAGGCACAACTACCGAGATGTGGTGACTGATGGGATATGGAGGTAAATGGGGGGTTGACAGAGATGGCCTCTAGATTTAAGCCTTTAGAGGCCCCAGAAGCTGGGAAGACCATAGCACCTGTAGGTGATTAAACAACAGCAGCGGAAGCTTTCTTAACCCAGTTGCATTGAACCGGCTCACTGCATTGAGTCACTCGGCACCCTCTGTAGAGCCCGCGGGCAAAAAGCTGACCGCCTCCGCTGACCCTTTCCAAAACCCACGCCAAGAAAATGGGTACCGAGGCTGGCCCCGTGGCCTAGTGGTTAAGTTCGCGCGCTCCGCTGCAGGCGGCCCAGTGTTTCATTGGTTCGAATCCTGGGCGGGGACATGGCACTGCTCATCAAACCACGCTGAGGCAGCGTCCCACATGCCACAACTAGAAGGACGCACAACGAAGAATATACAACTATACACCGGGGGGGGGGGGCTTTGGGGAGAAAAAAAAGGAAAAAATAAAATCTTTATTAAAAAAAAAAAAAAAGAAAGAAAATGGGTACCTTTCAAGGAGCTCCTGGGACCTTCGAGCCCGTCCTCCCCGCCCAGCCCAAGTTAGGAACCTCTGAGAGGGGCTGCTCCTCCCCGGCCCGAGCTTCTGCCCCCCCCTCCACCCCCCCCCCGCCCCCCCCCCCCCCGCCGCACTGAGAGTCACAGCCTCCTTCTCCAACCTCTTTATACCCATCCAACAGGAATGTGAATCCTTTAACCGGCTAGTACACAAACGACCAAAATATAAGTGCAAAAAACAGTCACTGTGTCTATGAACACTAAGTTGATGATTTGGAAAGACTTCTCAAAAGTAATTTAATTTTAAAAACTGCTATTGAATCAGGTATAGACGAGACAATTGTAAAGACCAGGGCAAGATCCTAGAAGATCCTGAGCACGGGTCTGCTTCCAAGCTCACCCTCCTGGCGCCGGCGCCTCGGGTCCTGGCCACGTGGCCTCGGCACCAGCTGCTCGGGGCACCGCAGCTGCCGGAGAGGAAGAGAAGGAGAGCGAGCCCCAAACAGAAGTCCGTCTCTTTATAACCTAGTCTCAGAAGTGACAGTCCCATCACTTCTGCTCCTTTCTATTCACTAGGAGCAGTCGTTGCGTCCCACCCCCACCTCCACACTCGAGGGGCGGGGATTACGCCGGCCAGAACACCGCCTCCTGGGGGCCTTCCTGGAGGCAGCCCACCTCGATCTCCCACGACTCCCGACCGAGCGGAATAAGGGATCATCTCCTTAGAATCAAACACACTTCTAGCCGAACACCCTCTCTGTGCCAGGCGCTGTCCCAAGAACTTTGCATTGACCCTCGCTCGCACTCTATGAGGTCGGCGTTATTATCCCCATTCTGCCTGTTCGCAAATCCCACAGCCACTCAGGGGTGGAGCCGACTGGAATTCGACTCCTCACGAGTTTGAACCCAAGGAGGAAGTTGGTTTGGGCATGGGCTCTGCGGAGCCTGCAAGACAGGGGCCATATCCACCTCCCACCCCGCTCCCCACCCCCGGGGGAGCCGGTATTTGGGTCTGAAGTTCAGGAAGAGGCGGGGTCGGAACTGGCAATGTGGGCGCCCTTAGCCGGGGGTGGGGGGTGATGAATCCCAGGGAGGGGCGCTCACCCCCAGGAAGAGTGGGTGCAGACAGGACAGAAGAGGGCTCTGTGTCCAAGGGCGGCCAAGGAAGGCTGAGGAAGCGGCAGCTGTGGCCTTTGCCTCATAGGAACAGTGGGGGAGGGGGGGCGGGGCAGAAGGCCGCGGGAGGCCATCAAGGGAGGTTGCAGTGGGGTGGGGGTGGGGCACCTCTAAGGAGCAGCCTGGCTGTGGAAAGTCACAGGGGACAGGACAGTTGTTGAGGGGGTGTGGGGACAAGGGCTGAGGAGGGGGTTAAGGTTTCTGTTTGGGGTGGAGGTGGGGGGTGGGGCCCGGGTCCTGACTGTGGCCACACCCTCTGTGCTCTCAGCAGGGCCGTACTGGCCCAGACCCCGCCCAGGCTGACGCCCCGGATGTGGCCTACCAGGTCGCCAACCCCGAAGCCGCGAGTCAGGAGCGTGTCACGGGTGCCCCACCCCGGGGCTGTGCCCCCTCCCCAGCCGGTCCAACCCGTTTGCCCAACCCCTTCTGGCTGTCCTCTGCCCTCAGCCTCTGCTGCCCCTGCTGCCCTGGGAGCTCCTGCCTTTCACAGAACAACCCGCCCCCTCAGACCAGGCTGCGAAGCTGTCAGGTGCCCCCCCTCCTCCTCCGGGGAGCCCACCACACCTCCCAACCACTCCTAGATCTTTTGAGGGTGCAGATGAAGGATTTGTGCAGTGGGTTGCAAGACTCCAAACCCCCTGCCCCAATAAATGCAGATATTTGGTTTCTCCCCAGAACCAGCTTCCCAGCACTCGCCAGGTGCCACAAACCCTGCAAGGCCTGTCCTGCCCAGTGGCTCTCCTAGCCCTCCCGGCCAGCCTTAAAATCTCTCCAAGCAAACACTGGACAACCTCTCGCTGCTCGCTTTGATTCCATCTGACCGCCCAGCTCCCCAGATGCCAGCTAAGCCTCCACTGACCCTCAGGCAGATGGAATCCAGTGTGCTGAGGCCCGGCCATCTGGCCCGCCCTTGCTCGCTGCTGGCCTCCACTTCCCTTCGTAGCCCCCTGCCTCCCGGCCCACCTCCACGCCTTTGCCCAAGCTGTTCCCTTGCCTAACATGCAACCCTCCCTTCTCCAAATGTCTAGATCTTTCCCAGCCTTCAAGGCTCAACTCAAAGCCTGCTTACTGAGTTTGAAAAAGCGACCTAATCTCTCTGGGCCTCAGTTTCCCCGACTGTAACGGGAGGAGGGAAGAAGGCTCGGCCCGTAAGGCGCCGGCCACACCGGGGGCCCCGAGCCTGGCCGCCCTGCCTGGGGCCCATCCGCCAGGCCCGCTCTTCCTCATCCCAGCCAGGCGCTGGCTAAGCCTTGCCAGGTGCTGACGGCGCCTCCCTCGGAACCAGCCGAGGGCCCCTGAAACGCGCGGCCCGCGAGGCCCCGCGGGAGAACATCTGTGCGGCGCTGCTGGGAACAGGGGGAGGGATGAAATCCGAGAGGGCCGGGTCCTCCCCCCGCCCCCCCCCCGCAGCGGGCAGGCGGAGAAGAGGCGCGCACAGCCTGTCCCGGGGCTGGGCAAGGGTGACTGTCGCTGACCGCTCAGCCCGGGGGTCCACCGTCCCGTGACGTCTGGTCCCGGGGAGGACCCGGCCCCACCCCCCGCCCGAGCCTCGGCTTCCGCGTCTGTAAAACGGGGCGAGGGCGCTGCCTCCAAGCCGTGCCGCTCCTGCGGGCCTCGGAGGGGACGCTTTGTTGTCCAGGACTAACGCACAGTCACTGGACAAAACTCAGAAAATACAAAAAAAAAACCCACCCAGATTTCTGGACTCCAATCCCAGAGACGGCCTGGCAGCTCCCCGGAGCCTACTGGGGAGCGCGGGGCTGGGCGCGGGGCGTGGAATCCTGCCTGCGACCTCGGAGGCAGATGTCAATATTATCCCACGTTCAGGTGAGGAAAGGGAGGCACAGAGGGGCTCAGTGGCCTCCAAGGTCTCAAGAGGGTGGAGAGTAGTCGAGATTTGAACCCAGACCTGACGGTCGTTCAGCCCCGGCGCCATCAAAGGCCGTGCCATGTTCCTCGTTACGGACGCACCAGCACCGCGACCCCTGCCCCAGCTCGGCCTGGGGAACGACACCGCGCGCCGCAGCACAGCCGGGGGACCGAGCAGCCGGTTTCTACTCCCCCGGGGCTTGTGGGTGGGGGTGTCGTGTGTGGGCGCCCAGGCTGTGGACCTGAGGCCCCGCGCCTGCGGGACCGGCGGGGTAGCTGCTCCCCCAGCCCATTGCGCGTGCGCCCCTCCTCCTCCCAGCCGAGGAGATTAAGTGGGAACTTTGAACTCCGTCCCCGAGCCCTGATCCGGGAGAATTAATCCGATTGCTTTTCAAATCCTGGCTTCACCTTGCAAACTGCCCCCGCAGCCGCGCTGCCCGCCCGCCCGCCTCGGGCAGGTCTCCATCTCTTCCCTCCAACCGCCCCATGGTCTTGTGGGGAGGGGGATTGTTGACCCATTTTACAAGCGACAAATGGGGTCGGGCAGTGCCTTGACCAGGTGCCTGAGTCTTCCGGTGCTCTTTCCTGTGTATGTGGACACCCCTCCTTTGGAGTCCCAGCCCCGGAGGCCCACCGTATCCCGGAAACCTCCGCTCCACTTAGTGACTCACCACCCAGCCGGGAGTGGGTCTTTGTTCAGCGCACTGGGCACCGGCTGGGGAGGGCACACATGTGACTACTTCTTTCTGCCACTCCTCAGCCCTGCCGCCTGGGCTGGACCACTATGGGGCCTGGAGCAGGGCCATCCTGCTGCCTCAATTTCCCTGCCTGCACACAAGGCACTGGGCTTAGTGACCCCTGAGAGCCCTCCCCAGCCGGACCTCCTGGGGCCTGAGGGCCGTTCCCAGTCCTCTGGGTTTGCCCTGAGGGGTCCTCTGCCCAGCTTCCACTGCCTCCTTCTCTAGATAAGAGCACCCTGGTTTTCCGGGGGGATCCCCACCCAGCCACCCGGCAGGCATGTGGGTTGATGGGTAGAACCCCACCCTCCCAGCTCTGGGCCTGGCCATCAGCATACTCCCCCACTGGTGTGGAGAGGGGCACTCAGCCTAGCAAGTGGGGTGGGGGGCTGGTGACCTGGTGCTGCCAGGGCCACCTCAGGTGAGGACTCATCCAAGGGGGAGGAAAGGCAGGGAGGAGAGGCAAAGAGCACAGTCCCTGTGCCACAGAGCCCTGGGCTCAGCAGGGTTGGAGGCTGGGTCCACACTGGGCTGGTTGGCTTTTCGCTTCAAGTCTTCAAGGCCCCCCTGCACTCTGACTACCCTCTGGACCGGGTTTATCTGTTTACCCTAAGCGGACAAAGTGAGGATTGCTGTTCGTGTTCCATCCCTTCATTCACTCAGCACATACCCTCTGAGCTAGCCTGGGGGCGTGTCCTGAGTGACCCAGACACAGCCCTGCCCAGGGGGCTTACTGTCCGGGGACACACCCAAGTGAGTGTGTTACAAGGGTGACCTATGCCCCAGAACTATGGGGACAGGGGATAGCACAGGGTGGGGACCTGGAGGTCCCTGAGGAGGAGACACTGAGAGACCTGCAGAGTGAGTTTGGACATGACTAGAAAGGGGCTGGAGGTGGAGGGCAAGAAAGTGCTCCAAGAAATTGGCCCTGAGACTGGAAAGAACCCCTGGGCTCCCTTGAAAGAACAAGGAGGTGACCGTGGGGGAGCAGAGACCTGGGCCCTGCAGAGCATTTTGGGCCACACGCACACTGTTGGATTTTAGCCAGGCAGCACCGGGGAGCCAGGGATGGGTTTTAAGCAGGGCCATAGTGCGGCCATTAGGATTTTAATGAATTCCCCTGGCCTCAGTGACTTCCCTGGGCTTTGCCAGCTTGGAAAGAAAAGAATTCCTTGCTTCATCATGCAGCACTGCAATGACCCCCCCTCACCCTGGTGTGGCTTTGTGGGAGGACAAAGGAGACAGGTGTGACGGACACCCGCTTTGCAGGTCTTCATGGATTGCAGTAGGATTCTGGCTGTGATGGGCTGGACGGGACAAAGAGCACCAATTCTACCTGTACCATTTAGGGAAGGCTTCCCAGGCGAGGGCCCCCAGGCTGCAGATGATAAGGAATCACAGGGACAGAAGCCAGGAGGTGGGGGTGGGGTAGGAGTTGGGGGGGTTGGGGGAGTGGGTGGAGGAATTCCAGAGAGAGGGAAGAGCATGTGCAAAGGCACAGAGGCAGGAAAGAACACAGTGCAGCCAGGAAACTCTTGAATCAGAATTTGAGTGTAGAATTTGGAGTCTGTCTGCCCATCTGTCAGTGTCTTCCTCTGAGACTGCTAAGGTGCAGGCAAGGAGCAGAGAGAGGCCCCTGTGTTTGGTGAGCTTGGTGGTTGCAGGAGGTGAGTGGTGGAGGATGGGCAGGGGAGGGGGCAGGGAGGACCACATCAAAGCTAAGGCTGGTCAGATGGGGAAGGGTTTGCTGGTGGACAGAGGCAGAAAGGTTAAAAATGGAGAATAAACCTTGCGCTTATCTGGGCTTCCTCTGGAAACTTCATAAAAATAATAGCAAAGAATTTAAAAAGGCATAAACATGAGAGAGGAGATGACTGTGGATGAGGGGTCCAACATATTTTGGGAAGATAGAAACTGACGGCACTCAGCAGAGAAGAGGGAGCGGCTGCCGATGTGCCTCCCTGGGGTGCCTGAGAAAAACACCCATCTACCAGCAGAAACTGGTGGGGCTGGGGAACTGTGGGAGGCAGCGGTGGGGCCAGATGACAGCCCCTGTGGCGGTCAGACCCTAGGTGACCTTGATGATTTCCTGCCCCTGATGCTCGCGCTCTACTTAATCCTTGAGTGCAGGTGGGACCTGTAACTTGCTTCTGTCCTATAGAATACAGCACAGGGGATGGGGTATCACGCCTCCAACTAAGCAGACTGGAGGCAGAGATTCTCCTTGGGGGCTGGATGAAGTAAGCAGCTATGTTGAGGAAGCCCATGCGGTAAGGGACACAAGGGAGGCCATGTGGGCACCAGCCGACAGCCAGCAAGAAGCCAAGGCCCTTGGTCAAGCAGCCAAGGACATAAATCCTCCAGCAACCAAACGAGCTCAGAGGCAGATATTTTCCCCACATGACGCTCCAGATGAGCAT